TGCTACCGCTGCTGCTCAACGCGCTCCGTGCCTGCTGATTTTCTGTCGCTTGCGTGCATGTAGCGAGGAGGCGTCCCAGAGCGGTGACTTGGGCAAGCAACCGCTCTACGCTGGCTGTTGTCACGGGACAACATCCTAGAGGAGATGGAGGAGGAGGATAATGGGGAGAGGGGTTGACGGAGGAGGATGAGACTAAAGAAGCGAACTAAGAGTATTTCTGCTCCAGTGGCTAAGCGGTCATTACTTCAAGCAGCTGATTAAGGGGTATGCTTTCCAGCCAGCTAAAAGACATCGAGATAACGTTGCTCCGCTGTGGTGGGTCAGATAAGCATATACAATAATCCCTCCAATGCCGTGGAAGTTACTTTCCGCGACCCTCCGCAAACTTCAAACTTCCACGAAGTTTTAGTAGCATATACATGCGCATATATGTGTGTTAAAGCTTAATAACTTCGTCAACAGCCAGTTATGTAAACAACCTTATCCACACTGAACGCAGGATCGTGTTAAACGGGAATTATGGTCATGGTGCTTTAGGGGTGTGACTGCAACGCGGATAAGCAGCAAAATTTATACAAGAAAACCCAAAAATATCAGTAAATTCCCGCCACAGTTATTTTTCTAGGCCTATATATAGCAACTAAACTGAGAGTGATATTTTTTAAAAAAAACTCAACAAATAAAAAAATCTGAATAAGAAAAACTAAAATGAAACACATTTGTGTCTGTCCTTATATGAATGCAGAGGTTATTAGAGGGAGGTGTACTTCCCGTAGCTATGACATAGTAAACCAAATCCGGTCACTCTATATATTTTAAACCCAGCTGTTTACAACCCTATCCTTACCCCTTTAAATTCTTTCATATATATATTTATAACTTAATGAACTTAACCTACACTTGTATAAGCCATATAACTCTTCCCAGCATTCTTATAAACATGTTGTGTGCTCTCAAACTCTGTTCCATAAAACCTTGGATATATGCATGAGAATATTAAAATAAAAAGGTATTCGGCATATCCTGGTTATGGGTACTCACAAATTAACCATGATTAATTATCTGTGCATTACTTATGACAATAACCGTGATGGCGATTAGATTGATGTTCTGCCCAGGCAAGAAGAGCATTACTACAGCTCTACTAAAGACGCCTCTTCATCGGGCACCTATCGAATTGCTGGACTCGTTGATTATTCAAAGTACTCTTTCTTGTTATGTCCTGTTATTTTACGTTTATTAATTTGTTTCAATTTCATATTTCTTTCAGACGTCTTAAGTAACGTTATATGCATAGCATTGTGTTTCGATTTTTCGGTCAGAAAATTCTCAGCTTTAAAATAAAATTACACATTCTCAATCCCGCGAGATATCAAAAATCTGTAGAACGCGACCTAGGAGAAAATTCGCAACGTGTCGTTGTCTGCCATAAGCAAACCACGAAGTGACAAGGGATTACTGTAATCCGTCCGATAAGGTAAATCACAAAAATTATCTGGGCGTGAGGGACGGGGAAATTATAATTTCCCTCTAACCCTTACGTCAATATTTGTGAGTGTTTTAATCCGTAAATCCATGCACAAGACAGTTAATTACTTACTCCATAATATACATGAGATAGAGGTTGCACATCTCGTCATCGTTAGTCGAGCCCATTTCAGTGGTACGGCTCCTGTTAGTCGAATCGTACACACAACGGGCAAGCAGGAGGTCACCGTTGTTCAGTTCAACATAATCGCTCGACGCTGACAGTTGACTTGGTCTGTAGAAGGTCTGCGGCCATTGTGGGTTGCCACGAGCCAGCAGATGGAACTCCCTTTCACCTGGATGCTTGTAATAGCCGACGACAGCTCTTCCTAAGGCATGGGCGTGTGTTCGTACTCCGATGACATAAATGGGAGCGGGTGTCTCGAGCCTAAAAAAGGTTAAGCACATTTTGAACTTTGAAAAAAACAGGTTTCCGTGTAAGCGGGGCTAATCGATGACTAACAGTGGTCATTAAAAAAATAAGGGTTAGAGTTCCTCGTGTGGCCGCCTAATGGTAATAGGAGTTGTTCAAATAGTTTGCATGGTCTACAGGCTTCTTTTATTAACCAGTAGGAGTTGTTTTTATAGTTTTCTTGGTCTATGGGCTTCCTCTGTTAACCAATAGGAGTTGCTGTTATAGTCTGCTTGGTGTTTTTGTTCTTTCCGCAACCGCTCCCGCTACATTTCAGTTAAGTAAAACAATCACAAATGTCTTTAATTTAGTCCTTGTCGCGCAGGTTCAAGCACCTATACGGCTTCTGGTTCGTCCACCCCTTTAATTCCCCTTTAACCACGTTTTCCATAAGAAACTTGGGCGGGGGGACTTTAGCCATTGGACGCAGGACTCTTACCTAAATGAGCATGCTGATGTAACGGTGACAAGCTGAGATGTCACCTTCTAATTACGCCCTGTTTGAACCCCCAAGGAAGAACAAAATAACAAGGGCGTAAAAGTGGAAGCCGCCCGAGTAAGGCTTTTATTGTGTACAGAACCCGGAGTTGCTGTCTCGGATGGCAATGGCCGCGAGCGAAGCTCGGGCTGATGTGGACTACGTCCAGTCACGCTGCAGGTCTCAGCCAGTCTGGTGCAACTCCCTATGTGAGATGTGACAGTTGCTTCGAAGTGACTGTGAAGCGAGTTCAAATGTTGCATGATTGGTGCGTTGGATTACTCGAGGGGTGTCGAGTATTGAGGTCACCTACTGGGTGGCCGCAGGGTTGTGCGCTGAAGTGGCTCTTGACACGCGCGTGTGCGAACGTGTGTGCGAGTGAATATCCATCCAGCGGTTTAAGGTCATCGATTAGGGATAGTCACTAGCGCAGACACATGACATTGAGGCCGCTCACATTGAACAATGAACCAATGTTGGCCGTCGGCTACAGGAGTGATTCATCAGGATAGCCTGCAAGGTTTAGCTAGCAGTCGGTTAAGTTAACTCCTAACACATGCAGCCTATGCCATCTGACTAGAACATCTTCTACTATGAAGACAATACAGCTCAGTCAGGAACACTCCTTTTGAGTTAGATAGTGTAAGTCAGGTTACAAAACTCGCTAATTTCTAGTTATTATGAACTACGGTGGGATGCTACCCGGAGATTAAGGTCGGCTCAAGTGCATAAAAATAAGCAATCGAATGACAAGAAATTATCTTACTGCCAAAAAAGACACTATCTAAACATCCAAAACCTTTTACTGTCTATTCAAAATATCAGCTTAAGCGCTACCAGGAGCTCAGTTCTCACTTGGTCGCCCACTTTCAGTTTGGGAGCTTACCGGCCACAGCGAATAGGAATTTTAACATGGAAACCTGTTAACGCGAAGGAGGTGATGTGCAACACTCTCATAATAAGCACATACGAACAGGAAGGAAGTTGCCATACTTCGTCATTTGGTAACGATACTTGAGCTCAGACGATTGCTGCACATCGCTTCGTGTCAGGTGAGCAGTTTACCAAAATCTCAACTTCATTTTACTCTTTACAGGTAGCAATAATTTGTGAGAATTAAGTGACAGGCTGCTAAAGATAATTTATCAGTTCAGTTTTGCGACAAATTATTACAAAAAAAAGTTATATCGCCATCGAGAAATACCAGCGACAGGGAGCCGGGAAGCTAGAATGCTCGTGCAAGGTTTGAAGTTGCATTGAACTGTTCATTCAGAGTACACATTAGCATTTGGTTCCGGACCCAAGCCACACTTTTCATGACCACAAACACGGTTGTGACGTTCTCCAATCTGATACGAATGTGGAACGGCATTCTGGCTTTTCGCTCTGTTTCAAAGCACTTGCGTTTACTGTACAACGACCTAAAAAGACAATGGAAGTTAAAGTTTTCATTCTGGCCTTCTTCGTGACATCGACTACCCATACCACTATAGCGGCTTTTGGGAAAACATATTTTTTAAAGTTTGAATTTAGTTATCTTACACAGTTGAAAACCCACCAAGCAGTCTCCATTTTACTTACCTGCAAGATATATTTGTCGCAAAATGCTGTGTATGTGGGGGAATACTGCCTTCAGAGTTGAACATGAGAAGGATTCCAGCATGGTAGGGTGTTGGAGTGTAGGTGTAGGTAAGCTCAATGGTTGCGTAGTCCGGTTCTGTTTCTTTCCGCATGTAGTGAACTTCCATTGTCAGTGATTTGGTTTTTGTTAGCCGGCCCATCTCAACGGCACTGCCTTTGGGCAGGACGAGGGGTGCTCCATTGTGAGCCCAGGCGTACAGTATGGTGGATCGGCATTGGGAAGTACAGGGTCCGGGCTTTGCCGCTTCTGTTCCTTCCATCCATTCAGGGCATCCACTCAGAATGATGTGGTGAACCGATGCATTCACAATGGGCTTGAACTTCGTTATGTACCCTACTGCATCCTCGAACGGGGGAAGAGGAATCTGGGTGCAAATGTAGTCGTCGGATTTTTGGGGTAAGGCACCAGGCATTGTTGCCCGAAAGATTTTGGCAGATGCATGGTGCCACACGAGAACCAAACTCACGAAAAGTAACAGAATTCTCATAGCCTTAAATTGCAAGAAATAGAAAGAAGATTTTAGGGTTGTTGTACTTCGATTCAGAGCACATACATCAGTTATTTCGGCCCACTTAAGCTAGTTTTAGATTCATTTATTTCATTAACTATCCAAATCTAGCAGTTATTTAAAACCAACTCGTTTGATCGAGTTCGCATTAATTCTTAGCAGTCGGAAAAAATGTGAGCCATAACGTAACTATCGTTTCACATAATATTACGGCTGTATAGTATCATCAAAAAGAATAGTTAACCGTTACGACAAAAGGCATCTACAGTCCGCCAATGCATTAATACATGTTGGCGCAAAATTCGCTTATGAAAGAACGCATCAAAGGTTTAACCTTTCCTCTTCAGGCTGTATCGTCATTTAGTCAACGAAACATTTATCATCGTTAAGATAAACATATTAAGCTTCCTCAACGAGGTGACTTTAAACGCACGTATGTATGGCTTAACTGTTTGCTTTGTAGATACTTGAAAGATTATTCTTACAAATTAAATAAGCTCCGAAGTTCAATTTCCTTAAATGTAAGATAAATTTGAATTGTGCCTAACCGAGTAGGGACTATCGCGCTCTCCATTAAGTAATATCTAATGCAATTTCGGACATGCGTGGAAAAAACTGGGATTGACCGACAGGTGAGGAAACTGCCAAAATTTCGTTAAGTGCACGTACTGCTCAGCTGTCCAAAATTTTTTTTAACCAAAACGACACGCAAACAGTAAATACTTAATGGCAAATTCAGAAAAGCCTGCTTTCAAGCAAATAGTAAATCACACATTTTGTAGAATTTTCGTGTTGTTAGCCGCCAATCCATTTTTTAATAGTATCTCACTGTTTCAAAGCATATTTAAGGAAGAGCTTTCGGAAACAAACGAGGGTCCGAATGATCGCATGGAGAACTACATATAAGCCGTTCAGAAAACATGCCTGATGAGTAAAGTTAGCACTTCAAAACATAGATGCATGGTGCAGATGCGGAATGCTACGCTAAACGATAAATACTCCTTACATCATCCCCGGAAGAGGAAGAAGTAGAGACGATTTCTGAGACCAAAGTATATTCAGGCTGACGTTTCAAAAGCTCTCTCGCTTTCACCGTCAGAGCAAGGTGTCTGTGTTCTTGTGTGCGTCAGATAGATGTAAACGACCATTCGCCCTATGCGTCAGTCTATTGCGCCGATCGATTTTCTTGGCTGTTTGAATTGCTCGCGCCGTCGTGAGCTAGGTCGAGTCGTTTTTGTGACTCGTGAGAGTTTCCACCCTCTTTGCTCGCGGCTACCGGCTGTCGGCCCTGCTCATTTCTCTCCGCCCGACCTATTGCTCCGTTTTGAGCAGATATTAACCTTGTGCGGAGCACTTGGTAGGCGGGATGAAGGTCCATGGCTCTGTTTAGTGTGCCGGGGATGATGTAAGGAATATTTTATCTGGACCTCGAATTTTCTCGCATACGATAAATACTATATATGAGTGACGAAAGCTTAATATTTCCGAACGTATATGCCAAAAAATATTAGAAATAGGCTAACTATTGTAAATAATAAAAAAGCTGCTTATGTAAGTATGCTGTATTTTGCGAGATTGGCAGGAATGAGTGTAAGATTATTCTCTAAAAATACAGCAGTTTCCTGGATGCGAAAAGTTTTTTTCACGTAATGTAGTAATATAACTATTGCCAATATCTCTTTTTTTCCTGCTTTAGAAAACCGACGGACTTCTATGCAAAAGCAGACTCTATTCTTATGTAAATGCCCCTATTAAAAGCTAAATGTATATAAATTTCCTTAAACTAACAACAGTAACTTAAACATCGTGGACTTTCTGTGTACCACACAATAGATAATCTTTATATAAAAATCACAAAAATATTTAGGAAAAGGTATCTTTAAAATGATCGTCGAGTTAACGTTAGGGAAAGTGGAATGGGTATATATAATGGTGTGTCCCTGTAGAAACAGATAGTATGGGTAAAAAGACATAATCCTGTTAAATAATTCTAAATAAATCTATAAACGTTAGTGTGAGCGTAACGTCCATACTCTCGAAAACTATCCGTTTTTAATCGTCCTTAAGAACTCCAAAACTGCAGACTTTACCGTAAACTCCTCGCCAGCTGTTCGTCTTTAACGGTATTTTTCATTCTAACTGCCAAACCATTAAAGTCAGTTAATCTAGCAAAGTGAAACTTCGGTCATGCTTGAGTCCAACTGAGTATGATTTTGCTTTCTCATTCGCAGTTTTATTTTGCCTGGTTTATAAAAAATAGGGTCTTTTGCAGCTAAAGCGACCCGTAAGCTGAAGTACGCAGAAAGTGGTGTTATAATCCTTACCGATTCTGCAATTCTCGAACAAATTAGGGCTGGAAGTTAAGAATAAGATGTCGGGTGGGTACTTAGCTACGAATAATTCTGATAGCGTTCTTGATCATAGCACTAATAAAATAGTGCAAAAGTGACTGGGTAAACGATTACGGTAAGAACTATTGTACGTTAAATATTATTTGGCGAACATCTCCAGCGACATAAACTGGCCGCACCATGGTGCAGAAATTTATTATATAAGCTCCATTATTCGTATATACAGCACTAAAGGGTACACTAACAAGGTCATGAACATTGGAATCGGGATTAAAGTAGATTGTTCGGTTAGTCAGAGACTATCGTAGAATCAACATATTAAAAAAGTCTGAAACTTTTAAGAGGCAATAGACTTCGACTTCAATTGCTGGTTACAATTATCTATACGCGACTATTTGAATGAACGTGAACAAAGCTGTGGACTGCATTTCGAATACTGTCGTTCTATTTTAGTCGTGTTTTATCACCTTCCTTGATTTATCTGCGTATTTAAAACAGACGTATACGGCAGGATTTATTGACATCAATAAAGTTCTTGACAGCTTCTTAGCTGCATCTTGTTACTGCATAATGATGATAACGAAGAGGACATACGACAGTTTGAAATTTCACAGAATGAGTGGCATAACAGCAAGGACCGTGGTTCAGTTTATGTAATAATCGATAGAGGACACTACATTAAGTCAACGCATAGAAAGGAAATAAGAGTAGATGAGGGAAGTTAGCAAAAATCATTTGGGATTTAAACTAAGCGACCAATTACCAGGGTACTTGGAGTTTGACCACATGGTTAAGCTGCTTGCATAGGTCAAGTTGTATGTCCTCTTCGTTATTATCATCATGCAGTGACAAGATGCAGCTGAGGAGTTGTCACGAAATATATTGAGGCCAAAAAATCCTACCATATACGCCTGTTTAAAATTTCCACCGGGGAACAAATGCTTCAAATTATTTGCGTATCTGTAAGGTGCTTTATGCTCGTGCGCACGAAAACTAGCATTACAATTAACCGAATTGGAGTCTCGGCACAAGTGATCGTATATGCAGCGTAAATAGATAAATGTATCAGCACTTTCGTCATATTTATATATGGGTCGCATTATCTTTCAATTATGTTTCAACATGCATTCCCTGTAAACACATGCCCCACCGTAGGTGGGACCCCAGACGGGGCCATGTGTATCAATCCGGGGCTAAGGGTGAACTACATTTATTGTAAAAAATTTCTTGAAATCTATATTTTGTCAAATAAAAGTATCAATAACCATTAAGTTGCATCTTCTTCTTTGATAAAACAATGAAATTGGGGGTTGAAACGGGGTTGAAACGGGGGCTGCACGCTGCGAAAATGTTTTCCGTAGGTGGGGCTTAACGG